TGTTCCTTCCATTCTGTAGTCACTAGTGCATTGTGCTGTGATAGTTTACGAAATGATGAATTAACTTGTACAGCTGCATCAATTACACCAGTACTAAGAGAAGGACCTGTATCAAGAGAATGATTGAGGAGTCTCTTCTTTAATGTACTCTTACCAGCACCAGGAGGACCTGTCAATATACACTTAACAACACGTAATAATGCTATACCACTAAATTGAGACATATTAATAACTCTATTAAGATAATTGACTATGTTTGTATAATCACTTATAGGAAAAGAATAACTGCTAGATCTACACATATTTGCTAAATGTAATGGCGATTTATCATCATTGTTTTTAGCTTCAATATTACATTGTGGATCGTTAGTCAAAATTTCAACAATTTCAAAATGACCCTTTTCACATGCATAATGTAATGATGTGTAGCCATTCCTCCCTTTAGCATTAACATCACAATGTTTGTCAACCACAAGATGACGTACAATGTCTATATTTCCAGATTCACATGCTTTGTGTAGTGGTCTGTCATTAGAATTGCTTTCAGCTTCAATATTACATTGTGGGTGATTAGTCAGAATTTTAATAATTTCAAAATGACCCTTTTTACATGCATAATGTAATGGTGTATAGCCATTCCTCCATTTAGCATTAACATCACAGTGTTTGTCAATCACAAGATGACGTACAATTTCTAAATTTCCAGATTCACATGCTTTGTGTAGTGGTCTGTCATTAGAATTGCTTTCAGCTTCAATATTACATTGTGGGTGATTAGTCAGAATTTTAACAATTTCAAAATGACCCTTTTTACATGCATAATGCAATGGTGTATAGCCATTCCTCCCTTTAGCATTAACATCACAGTGTTTATCAATCACAAGATGACGTATAATGCCTACATTTGTTAATCTACAAGCTCTGTGTAGTGGTCTGTCATTATCCTTATCTTCAGCTTCAATATTACATTGTGGATCATTAGTCAAAATTTTAACAATTTCAAAAGAACCCTTTTCACATGCATAATGCAATGGTATATAGCCATTTCCACATTTAGCATTAACATCACAGTGTTTGTCAATCACAAGATGACGTACAATGTCTAAATTTCCAGATTCACATGCTTTGTGTAGTGGTCTGTCATTATCCTTATCTTCAGATTCAATATTACATTGTGGATCATTAGTCAAAATTTTAACAATTTCAAAAGATCCCTTTTCACATGCACAATGTAATGGTGTAGAGCCTTTCCACCCTTTAGCATTAACATCAGAGTGTTTATCAATCACAAGATGATGTACAATGTCTACATTTCCAGAATTACATGCTACATGGAGTGGTCTGCCCATAAAACTGGCTTCAGCTTCAATATTGCATTGTGGATCGTTAGTCAAAATTTCAACAATTTCAAAATGACCTTTTTCACATGCATGATGTAATGGTGTAAGGCCAATCCACCCTTTAGCATTAACATCACAGTGTTTATCAATCACAAGATGACGTACAATGTCTACATTTCCAGATTTACACGCATTAATTAATGACCTCATATCTTCATAATGATTATTTAATAGTTTCATTATAGCTGGTACTGCTAGTTGCTTTGCTGATTTCATACATTCAGATAAACCATCCTCACTCACTTTCTTTCCTAATATTGAAACTATTTCTTTATGTCCTTGACATGCTGCATAATAAAGTGGTTGGTTTCCTTTATTGTCTTTAGCTTCAATGTCACACTGCGGTTTAGATATCAAATATTCTACTATTGACAGTGATCCATTATAACATGCTTTATGTAACAGAGTGGACCCAGTTCCCTTTTCTCTAACATTAATATCACAGCCAGTAGATTCAATGAGATGCTTCACTATTTCTAAATG